CTGTGGCCGTGTTGCTCAACATCTTCATGGCTAGGCAACACTGGCGACGAACTCCATCCGCTTACATGGACTGTGTGTCACCCGCAGTTTTGTTGCGGCTTCGACAAACTTAAATTTGTAAGCACCGATCAGTCCTTGTTTGTGGTTTATGAATCACACCCCATTGTGGGTGTACAGTCTTTACCCCTGTGTTAGTCCCAATGAATGGTCCCGCCTTTGCGATATTTGGTACGCGGCTGATTCGCAACTTCGACAGGGATGCTGTGCGTGTTGAACATGTGCGCCGACTCTTTCGATGAATCTTGACTGCCCTTCACTTACGTCCCGGTCTTATTCCTATGCCTTTACCCTGGATGTGATGTGTGTGGGGATGGAGCTATGGGTGCTGCAGCCCAAGCCAATCCTAGTCCATCTCTCTCTCAAAGCGCAGACATCCTGTGGTTGTCCACTTGCGGGACGCGGTAACAAGCAGAACCGAGCACGGGCGCTGTCACTCATGATTCACACTCGTTTAGACGTGCATGCGTGGTCATTGTTGCCCATTCGTGCGGCCGTGCGAGGTATACAATTTTGTGCTATCTTGTCAATAATTTTCGCACCGTCATTATGAGTCAACGTTTGTCCGTATTCTTAAACCCATTTGTAACATGTTTATGTTACTCGGTAAGGTGGGTTATACGTTGATGATTGAAAATATTACATTGCTAAGCAGACATTTGTGAAGAGGAAACATACAGCTCGATCTTAAGATCGGACCAAGCGTTGGAGATGTGTCCAATAATCACCCCCCCCCCCCCACCGGATGCAACGGTGTATGAGTGGCTGTGGTTTGACGTATATTCCGAAACCAAGAATAAGTCTTGTTGTCTCATAGTCATTACCTGCAACATGTCCCATAGATCGTTTTATGCGACGTGAATTCCTAATGTGCGTGCTAAGCAAAGTACATAATTAATAATACGGTCATATGTGACCATGTTAATAGCTTACGAAAATGTGTTCACTTTTAGTGTGCACAATCTTTGTGTTCGATTTTTTGTCTGTGCTATTTTTGCTTTCCGCAATTTTCGTGTACTCTTCTGGTCACCGATTCATGGTGCTGTAAGCATAATTATATTTGCAACAACTAACTGGAATATAAAACCCCATTCCAACCGTTTCATTTTCCCAGCTACTCTGTTATTAATCGTGCCATGCCTAAGCAGTGTATAGGTCCATAGGTTACCTTTCAGCGTGCTTTTACGACATTGTTGCTCGGGCGCCTACCTTATTTTCTACACGATAGTAATGTCCAAGTCAGTTGCTGCTGAGCCGTAGTAATTTGCACACGTCGATCGTTACTGTAAATGTAGGATCACGAGTTTTAGTCTCACAATCAATACACGCTAGCAGCGGGTGCGAAACACATCTCAGCTAAGGTGCCGCAATACAAAAAAACGGAAATAGTTCGAAAGGCAAGTAATGTAATCTTATATATCATATTATGCATTAGTTATGAGATCGTACTTGAAGGTGTATCTAAAGAAAAGGGGGATGGACAAAGAAACTCGCAACACAAACGCCATTTAGGTCGGTTCTTCGTATAACAGTGCCCAGCGGTTCATTCGCTTTCACCGCACCAAATACACAATGTCGAACGCGTTGATTGCTCACGCAGTGCTCCCACCAGACATGAGCTAAGCTGCGAAGGCACTGATGGTCGAACGTAGTCAGCCTCCTCATGTCTGTCGACCTGATGGGCCAACTCCCACAACCGTATCGGAGGGTTGAACAGACAACTGCATTGTACACTGCACCCTTCAGGACGAGAGTAATGTCTCGTCGGCGTCACAGTTGGAAGGATAATTGCGCGTTGCTGACGTGTCCTGATAGATCGATCCAGCCATCCTGGGCCTTTCCGGATGTGTAATAACGAAGTCTAGACTTGATGACTACTAGTTAACCACTGAAACAACGATCGACCTTAGGCTGAAGAAGGACCCAAACTATTTAAAGGTATGGGCTGTGTTGAACAGAATCAGTAACATCACAATTGCACCATGTTTGGTGGTACATCCAGCTACTGAATTCAACAACAATCCCCGTTTTCTTGAAAATTGTATTACACCAAGGCAAAACAGTTCTAAGCCAGTGCTATTCATCCAAATTGTGTCTGCTTTCACTCGCCGTAATGCGGAGGTGATAAATCCTACCCTGCTTTATCTGCTTTCCTCACTATACAGGCCCTTTGCACACACCCACACACACCCAAACCAGTTGCCATACGCGGACACACAGAGAACATGTTGCTGCTGCTGCATGCATGTTAACGCCATACTCCTCGACAAATAAGTCACAACTTCTCTGTCCCCTACGAACCGTCATCGGTAGTATCCACCTGTTTTTGATTTGACAGCCCGTGATGATCTTCTAACTGGAAGCATCAATGCACCAATTTCATTGGTTTCATATGGTCATTTCTCTTCAAGCACTTAAACATGACAAGAGCATTACGTGCGTTCTGCGCGATAATCTGAACTCTCTCAGTCAACTGTTGGCAAATATGCAGTGGTATTACTAAGTAACTACCGGTGACAGAGGATCAACAATAGTAATACATTGGGGACTGTACGGTGCACGATACCTGGGTCGCAATACGAGGCGCTTATCTCCAAGGCTTCGTGAGCACATCCCGGCGTGGTTTTACAAGAGCGAAATGTGCTCCTCATCTCCTTGCTTGTGGCCATACAGCTTTTGAGAATGACTTCAGATTCATCTACTCATTGCCTGATCGCTTCTCGCAGAGCTTTGCAAGCAATTATTATCCATTGCCGAGGCCGTTTACATCCACCATCCAAAGCCGGAATTGTGTGTGTGTGTGTGTGTGTGTGTGTGTGTGTGTGTGTGTGTGCAAAAACAATCCATACGGTCGATACTACTGTTGCTTAGCTATCTGGTTGTTACGCTAATGAGTACTGCGGTTTGTTGTATTATTGTCCCTTTATTTCCCTTGTGCTACCATTTCTAACCCGTAGTTTAACCGATCACAAGTGTGCCTTCTAATCCGAGGGCGCTAGTTCGAGCCTACGTGGCGGACCGAGTGACCTTCGCAGTATCCATAGCCCACGCACGACAGCGAAGTGTCGTTACTGCATACTGACATAGTGCTTATATCTTTTTTTCTACGGTCCTATCATCCATTTGCTCGTTCAAACTGTTTAGAAGTCAATCCCCATCACGATTTGTTGTTCACTACACATACTCAGTGTTATGTGAACGTTAGGGTCTGATGCGAGTTTAGCGAAAAGGTTTATTTATCTTGCACTAATTTTGCTATTGATTCTTGTAAATCCAGTTGAACCTTGTAGCGATCGGGGCCATAAATTTCACCGAAATAATTACGTTAGACTAGACTGACCATGGGATCCCATTGCTGGCAACAGCAGCAGCAGCAGCAGTACATCAGCCATTTGAACTGATACTTCACTACCGCACAGTCATACTCGCTTAGAGAGTGAAGAATAATAAGGGGAAAGAAAGGAGACCTAGGATAAACCGGAATCTCCTAGGCGAAACAGCAGAGTCAATGCATCTACACCTTTCAACAAAACGTGGTCGCAAACCGTTGCCTAGCTTGCGGAGATAATGCAGCATCAACGAGGCAGCTTTCTTGCGGCTTTCATTGTCCCGCAGATAACTCGACACTAGGCACACTTTAATCAGGTAACCTGACCAGACGACAACTTGCACAGCCACCGCCGAGTCTCTTATGTTGTCCCGCATTCAAAGTCGTTTGCCAGTAGTCATGAATTGTGCCGCTTGTGCTCTGGAATTCGTATGCGTAGCTCACGCGATTTGGACTGTATGTATATATAGGTATTTAACTTTTCCAATGCAGTTCGTTGTTTTATCCTTGGGAAGGAGGTTTTCAGCTGCACTAGCATGGAACGTATCGTTTGATCCCGCTGGATGATCGTCCTTATTTTCTCCTTGTTTAGTACCCTCCGAATTGCCTTCAAGGTTCAACCCTTGTACGAAATTTCTGCTGAAAAACGGTCGTACCTGTGCATGCATTAGACACAGGTCACCAAATCGACTTGGTTAATGTAGAGATCATTAGGATGGGTCTCACGAGCAGTGCCTCAGCGGTTGATTCCCAAGACAGCGGAACTCGCTAAATCGGACAGCTGCGTGGGCAAGATGGAATAAGTGGAGCTCTTATGTGCACGTCGAGCGATCTTATTCCGGCCACTCTGACGAGTGTTTATGGCCGGATCCAGTTAGAAAGCGAAAATCGACGACTCCCCTTAACCACCATCATCGGCTCATCTGTCAGTGCGATTATATTCCAGGGAATACATAGACTATTCTCACTGTGATTGAAAACGCCTAAGATGAGATCCCGACCTGCAACTGTAATAACTTCTACGCGTGTCCGTGATATCGCTATTGTCGTCCTAGTTCACTTTAAAACGCCGCTCCAGTTGCATACCTATTCACCTGACTTGACGAAGCTTTCGTGTCAAAGGGGGAACCTTGCCCAACAATTACACTAACTGAATATTTCCAAACTTCTCTGAACGCAAGTTTTATGTTTGTCGTATCTTTTTTTTGCGTGATACAGGTTAATATTCTTAATTCCCAGTTCCATGGTTTTGAATTACGCAGTATCCATCCTATGGACCGATTTCAAAGAGCATATATTTATGCACTAATTAATCATGTTCTTTCTCGAAACATATCAACCGCGACTGGTTGTTCAATTTTGAAAATTTTTCCACTCTGACTGCTTCCATTCCTTGATGTCTTCGAATGGTTAGCATGGACGCCATCCAATCAGTAGAGGTATAACTTTTCCCCTGTCTACGGCTAATGTTAAATCCTTTTTCACTCAAATAGTGCAATTGTGATTTGGACCCGGATCTGACACTTTGTACACAGAAACGTTTGGTTCTATTTCAGTGCCCTACTATGTAAGAATCATTTAGTCCCACCACCATTCTTTCTGTTCACGATTTCAGGCACTGGCCACTCTACGATTCGTTGTCACTGAAGTTGTCTACGGAGCGTTTGTGTCACGCACTCCTTGGTTTTCCGCTGTGAGTCCATTTTCTGCATCTCTTCGCTTATATACCTTCGCCTTAACATCTACCTTTTAGCGATGCGCTACCAAACAGTTCTGCGCGTATTTCCATCAAATCGGCTTTCACTTTTGATTCTGTTTCTACGTTAACGTATGTTTTACGCTACTATCAATTTTTAACGCATCTTATGTATGTATTATCCTGAGATCTCTCTATGATGACTCCCGAGCCTGTGTAAGGGTCTACGAAAAACTGTCCCCTGAGTTCCACACGACAAACGGCGGTCGTCAGTGATGTCCTATATCTCCTTTCCTCTTCAACTTTGTGATCGAAATGATTCTGATTGACTCCGTTCTTACATACTTTACCGGAGTGGAAGTTCGGCTGGCTGACGGACTGCCAAATCTTGAGTATGTGAGTAAGATAGCTCTCCTTGGGTCTGACGAAGTGCTGTGCACGCACTACTGCACAGACTGATGAGTAGCGCTACACGCTTCGGCGTGTGCTTTGCACCTTCAAAGTGCAAAGTTTTGTTGAAGGACCGTGCCGACACGCCACCGATTTTAGCTATCAGCGAACAGGCTCTGGACGCGATATATTGGTCCACATGCCTTGGTAGCTGTGTCACCTCTGGTGGCCACATCACTGGGGAAGTTACTTCACGTATCAGGAAGGCCCGTGTGGCTTTTTCAGAGACCCAACCATCTATGGAGACGGCAGGAGATCAGCCTGTCATTTTGAGGTAGCGTGTATCACACTGCGATGAGGCCGGTCTTGCTGTGTGGACCAGAGACCTGACCAGTCTGCGGCGACGACATTAAATGCTTGGGCGTGTTTGACCATCAGTGCTTACGGAGTATTACTCATATCTGGTGGGAACACAAGTTGAGCGATAGTGAGGTCCACCAGTTGCTTTTTGGCAAGTAGCCTTTTGTGCCTCACTCGAGTGCTTACTGAATCTTAATCGCTTACGTTGGCTTGGTCATATCCTCTGTATGCCCATTGATCGACTTCTTCGATGTGCGTTATGCTCCGAAATTTCGAGCTGGCCAGCCCTTGACATCGCGTACAAGCTTGTAGCAATTGGCTGCGAGACTTGGTCAAGTAGTGCATAGTATCTGGTACCTCTGGCATATCATTTTGCCTTCCAAAGAGTTCAGCTTAACTCTCTCAGGCGTTTTGACATAACTGGATAGGCCTCCTTGTTTTTTCATTCTTTGTTTCGTCCGACAACTTCGATATCTGTTTGTGTTCTTTCTCTTCGGTTTTTATTTCGTCTCTTTCCTTCTTAGGCTTTGTTGTCAGTTTTTTCTCATCTGCGTCAGTTTGCTGAACGTGGCTTGTAAACTCCGGAGGACGGGCGGTCTACGCGACGCAGTTTGCTTTCCTGTGTCACTACCTTCGGTCACAGCAAAGTCAGATGGTTTCCGAATAGCCCACTGCATCCTTCGATGTTTCACATCCTCCCTTCCTTCTATTTTGCCACGAACTCTATCGTTTTATGATTCTTCTTGAATTATCACGATGCAGACAGACATCAAAGTGCTGTCGAAGAAAACGCGTTGTTTTTTGGTTTCGCGAACGATATCATCTCGCTGTTTTACAGCCTAGAGTTAGCGCACTCAATCGAGGCATACACTTTGCACCTCTATAATGCAACGGAATCTTCCGGACCGCAAAACGCTTGATTTGGTCTTTGGCGACCCGGAGCCGGGGAGAGTTAATCTTGATTGTTAAATTCCGTCGTGATACCTGTTAGTGCTTTTTCTCCGCCACGTACATCACAATAGGTCGTATATGTTTTGCTGCCTTTTTCTTTTCTTTCCAGGCTGTCACCGGAATAACGTGCTGTATGTTCGTTGCAAAATGTTTTGTATTCGATGTAAGTTGTTCCATGTCACGGTACTTAAACAGTGCACCCATACGTATGTAGTCACTTTCGTGACATATGAGCGCTATTCGAATTCCACTCAGTCCGAGTGAGACGCAGTGGATATTGCAGTCGTTTTCCCCATTCACATCGGTCTGTTGCAATGAGTATCAACTTGTTTCCGCCGTTTTTCTCTTTTGCATCCATCATGTTACCACCCTAAGTATGCACGAGCATTCGAGTTTTTCCAGATTGTTTTGCTTTTTTCTGGACTTCCTACCTGCAACCCAGTACTCCACAAGTCATCTCCTTCCGTACCATGGTTGGCGGCACCCGGTTCCAGATTTGCCTGTCACTACGGATTTCATTGGATATTCACAGGACGCCTGCGCCTACAGAGGAACCGTGGATGGCCTGCGCTGTACCACCCACAGCTCCAACACACACCGCATATCCAGTGTAAACCTGAAGGAATAAGACCGGGAGGTTTGTGGATGGGAGCCACGTTTCATCAACGGAGCCGGCCCACACTTCTTCAACATGTGTAATGACAGCATTCCAGTTAGTCTACTTGATCAATCTTGCATACCATGACGTACACAAGGCGGTGGCTGCGCCGTAGTTCACTTCACGCTGGATGGAACCACTCTATGAGCCTGACACGGCCACGAGGACCTTGCACCCCGTCCCCTCCAGCAACGATCAGCTGTCTCATGGAAGCAGTGTAATCGAGACACAAGGTAATAGACAGATAGGCACCTTGTCAACATACACATCAAGCACAGCGACATCGGGGATATCCGCCAACGACCAACACCTGAAATGCAACGCAAGAAACTCAACACGCATACACACATACAGAACAACCGCAACGATGATGTAGCACACGTACCACATTAACCACACTAATATCCTAGGTTAGTAAATGGAATAGAAATGGAAACAGTGTACTTACCAAGCGCTGTGCTAATGATTAGATATTTAACCTACTCGTCTTCTTTTATGTCCTGACCCCTCTTAGCGACGCTGCCGGCTTATTAAACCAGATTGGCTGGAGCGTTCGCGACCGCATGTGCTACAACACAAGGCGCTCGACGTCGATGGGCTATCCACCATTAGTGCCTGTCGCTTTCCTACTCCACTTTTCTCCGCCGCGTGTAATAGTGCTTTATGCCACACATGGACAACCACACTCTTGATCATCTCACGCCGTTCGCGCCGATCATCTGTAATTGTCTCACAACACAAGAAATTGTTATTAGTTCGTGATAGGTCCACTTTGATCATGTCCTGGTAATGTAACTTCGGCTTTCCCCACATGCCGCTTCCCTTCACGCAGTTGGCCCTAAATCAACGGGTTCGCTATCCTCGTCAAATCTATGCGGCGAACATGTCCGAGTCATCTCAGGTTCCACAGAAGTATGCAGTCCCCTGCATACGTGACACTGCGGCGCAGCAATTCCGTATTTGCCACTCTGTCGCACCAACCAATGCGCTAAATCCATCGCAGACGCTGTTGATGAAACCGTTCCAGATATCTGAAGTCTTTCCGGTACGGACAGCATCATAGACTTGCTTACCATCAGCTTCGTTCCAACCGTATGGTGGTGACTGTTCCACACGCGCTTTCCCAACTTTCCGAACGCAACAGCCGCCTTCGATACGCCCATGCACAGCTCGCCCATCAACTGGCGGTCGGTAGACAGTACGCTCCCATAGTAGCGAAGTCTCGAGGTGGTTTCCAAAACCTCAGCACCAATGTAATTTTGTCGCAAGTCCACTGATTCCACTTCTTGAGAAGGCTACAAAAGGCAACTAGTCATTCCTGCTTTTCTAGTGAGCTCGAATTTGGCCGCTTTAAAGTGAGAGCCGTAGTCCTGTGCTGCAACTCATCCACGCTGTTGGCAAACAATGCAGAGTCGTCGACAGACAACAGCATATAGATAGTTGTCTCCCACATTAGGGTTCTCGCACCGAAACGACGGATGTTCAGCAACCCACCATCAATACGGTGCTACACACAGGCACCGTAACCAAAAGCAACATCAAAAGCACAAGACATCATGACATGAAGATAAATACTAAACAGGGCAGGGGCTAGGACACATCATTGCTTCACACCAGAGATAACTGCAAAGTCATCCGAGGTTTGTCCACTCAGCTGCACCTTTGCCCACATACCACTGCACAGACATTCGATTAAACTTACAACGGACAACCAAACTTATCCAACACCAGCCACAATGCCTCACAGTTCACCAAATCAAATTCTTTGGTACAGTCAACACACAGCGAGTACAACTGCTGGTGTCGCTCTCTGCATTTCTCCTCCATTTGACGAGTCGCGAACACCATATATATGGTGCTGCGGCCCGTACGGAATCTGCATTATTCTTCCGCCACATGCGGTTTATCGACCTGAGCGACGAGGCGCTTGAGCATGTTTCGAGAGATCATCTTCCCCACACAACCCAGCAACTTGAAAATTCAGCTAATTCATTTTTGTCACCCACTCAGCAAACTTAGGCTAGTCTGGAAAAGCACCAGACGCCGGCGTCTCGACCTTCTGGGTCTCGTCAGTGGCGCGTCTCCCAGCGGACCCCTGCCCGGTTCCGCCCCCATGACTTCAGGATGCCAGCAACTAGTGCCAATTCGCCATGAGTGACAGCCGCGGACTTGCGTGATTGACACTTGACTGTGATATAGTCCGGCTCATCTTCCACTGCCATGCCAGTTACGAACTGTGCAGAGGACAATGGCTAGCCTCACGAGCTAGGACATATTTTATAGTACTGATGAGTATGAAATATGTCCGTATAGTTTCTATGTCCTATGTGGTACATAGGCGTTATGCGGAAATTCCTAGCTCGTGAGGCTAGCCATTGTCCTCTGCACAGTTCGTAACTGGCATGGCAGTGGAAGATGAGTCGGGTTATATCACAGTCAAGTGTCAATCACGCAGGTCCGCGGCTGTCACTCATGGCGAATCGGCACTAGTTGCTGGCATCCTGAAGTCATGGGGGCGGAACCGGGCAGGTGTCCGCTGAGAGCCGCGCCACTGACGAGACCCAGAATGTCGAAACGCCGGCGTCTGGTGCTTTTCCAGACTAGCCTAAGTCTGCTGAGTGGGAGTGACAAAGATGAATTAGCTGAATTATGCCCAAATCCTCACTTCTACTCATCAGAACTTGAAAATTCCCACAGAGTTAACAAAACACGAGACCATGGGTGAAAAATTGTTTTCGATGATTATTTCAGACAACTACAATCATATTTAAGGGTAAAATAAGGAACTGAAATCGACCCATTGGCTCAAATTACATAGCTCGTTAACGGTTCTGTGAGGGAGGCTACAAGTTGACCCTTGACCTGACAGCTTGATCACATGGTACCGAGCTTGATCCTTGGCAGTCGACCTCAACTTCGTTCGTTCATCTTCCCTTGCCATCTAAAACGAACAATGCTGAGGTCTACTATCACAGATCAAGCTCGCTAACATGCAATCGACCTGTCAGGTAAAGGGCAGCTCAGCAAATTGATGCCACGATAATTGGCGCAACCTTGTTTGCTCCGTTTATCCCTGTACAGTGTTAGCACAAGAGCATCCTTCAGCTCCGCCAGCACTTCCTCTCCAAACCCCACGCTTTGCGCCAAGTGATGCAGCGCATTTACCAACTCGGGTCCGCCGTGTTTCGACAGTTCAGGCGGAATTCCGTCGGCGCCGGCACATTTACCGTTTCTCAGCTGAGCAGGTGCTCTCTGCGCCTGCAAGACACTTCCTCATCTCTTGTTCTTGCAGTCCGTGCAACATAGCCCAGTCAATCTCCGAACGGTTATTAAAGAAATAGTGGAAGAGCTCTCACCAGATCTGCATTATATCTGCAATCTGTGTGCAGGCAGCGCTTGAAATAGGATCGAGCAGCGTCCTCAGCAGCTACCTGTGTGTCCATCCACAGCTTTTGGCATAGCATCCTATATGTTTCGCCCTCTCCGTCCACCATGCATTCTTGATGCGACGGAGCTCCCAAGCAAATCGCCGTGGAAGTTGGCGAAAGTTATTTCTCGCAGTCAGCAGGCTCTACTGCATGCGCAGGAAATGCTGCATTCCTCTCCGACACCAATGTGCTGGTGGTCACATTGTGGGCATCAAACCAATCGAGCTGCTATACAGTTCGCGCACATGATCGTTTCCTCGGTCACATCAGTCATCTGTTTACGGCTGTGGTCCCATATTTCGCTCACTGAAGCTATGGATTCGACATGCCAGTGTGGGTAGACATCCTCTTCTCCAACTCCATCCTCAACGTTACCTATGTGAAGGAGAGTTAAACTTGCGTAGCTTCACGTTAGGTGAGCAATGCACAGATTTACGAAAATACATGTACAATTTGGTCCTCACCAACTTGCGATCAGTTCTACAAGCGATTCCACGCAGTACACGTATCATGCGCACGTTGCGCAAGTCACGCTGGCGTCCAATGACATAGTCGAGCAGGTGCGTGTGGCCACTGCATGGGCGCTTCCAAGTTGCTGTATCACTCGCACTCAGTGCAAACCGTGTGTTGGTGATCGCCAGGTCTCCTGAGTGGTGCTCAATGGGGGCAGCTGACCACCGTTCCCATGGGCTGTGCCAATACTATACGGACCGATTACGTCCGTCCACCCCGCGACATCACGCCCAACGCGCACTGTGAAAGCAAATAATAATTAGAGTCGATCGCTCCTCCTCACATACCGTATCACGGAAGATAACCGAGCGTAAAACTGATCTTTTGTGTCATCAGGATAACACGGTGGGACCATACGGACTGATAAAAGTGTCGAACTTACCTCTTCCAAGTCGCAGAAGAAATGTCCATCATTCATGGGCTGATGCCAGTCTACTCCAACACAAGATGACCATTTAGGCTTGTGGATCACTCAACTCCGACCCTATGTTCACGTGGTGCTGTAATGGCATTTTCCACCCAATAGAACGTGCAACCGGCACCATCCTCATCCAGCGTTCTTTG